ATATATATATATATATATTTATTTATTTATTTATATTTTAGTTCACGTGTTTATTTTATTTTTTTTAGTATTCTGAGAAGAACGTCTTATAAGAATAATACACTTGTACAAAATAGTGTAAGATGATGGTAGTTTTTATTAAATTACATTTTCGGTTGTAATATAGTCAGTGTAATTGATCGCTTTTTTGTATGTACAGAATTGATAAATGCACATTTATCGTTAATCGTTGATAATAACGATTTACTGATAAGATAAGTTGAGCAGTGGTGAACTAGGTTGAGCATTAATATTCGATGGTGTTCAGTACGTTGTCGGTTTGGATGAGTGCTAAAAGTAAACATTTTAAAATAGTAAAAATTTTAATTCATTTATTTATTTATTTATCTAATCAGAAATTGTAATAATTATAAGCTTATACCTTTATGTTCTAGACGCTCAACAATATCGTCAATATTAGTAAATACTTTCTTTCTTCGTTGATATCATTTAAACGGCTAACTTTAACAGCTATGCACGCACTGTGTTGAATTTCTCTAAGCTCGATCAACGATTCAGCGATCGTTCTATCGATTCTAAGGACCCGTTCATTCTATCGACCATTCACGACGCGTTAGATTTTGAATGCTGATAGCATCGCAACCTGGTGCGATGAAATTAAATTCAGGCTTACGATTCAGTTTGTACTTAGACTAAGAGAGATAAGAGAGATTTATATATAAATCATGTATACCGCTATATCCATAACAGATTTGCGGGTTGCTTTAGAATTCAGAATTCGAATAATTCGCACACTTTTGCTTTTTATGATTTGCAAGTCATATTTTCAACACAGTATTTATAAAAATATGTATATATAAGCTGAGTGAGATGTGAATGAGAATTCCTAATAATTATTCAGTAAATATAGTCGCCTTTGTAGTATATATCCAAAAATATAACTGTATGCATTGCTATCTCAAAAAAAAATTGCATATTAATAATGTGATTGTTAATATTTATTATTGTATCTTATTACTATTTAGTATTCATTATTATTCACTATTATTATCATAACTATTCATTACTGTTATCGATACTGTACAGAGTTATTTGGTTTCAGAGCACATTATTTATTTAAGCTGACTTGCTTAATTCTGTACGGCTGTTATGAAGAAAAAAATGAAGAATGCATATTTGTTTCGTTTTTTTGATATCTACCATAAAAATCAGTGTTCTGTTATCATGTGAGAGAGATGCTTTTATGCATGAGAATTCATCTGTATATTAATAATAAATGTGTATTAATAATACGTTTATGTAATACTATTCAATTAGGTTTTATGTAACGGTATATAAAATGTAGTGTGTCAGCTAGTGTTTACAAGCAAATCGTGATAATACGTTCAGCAATATGAACGTGATAATTGCTCAAAGTGGTTTTTGTTAAAATTCTTATTATAAAGGAAAGAATGTACGCCATACAGTGGAATAATAAATTCAAATTTGAATATTTTAATGTTTGCGTTTGCTATACACTTATTATTATTGAAATATTGGTTTAAAAATATATTATCATCTTACATTAAATGATAATAATAATGCTAACAATGTCTGAAATATTTTAAGCAACGTGTGAAATATTCGAATTGAACCGGTGCCTTTTATAAGTTACATGACGATTTTTTATTGT